ACCCTGGAGAATCAAATGTCGGTTTTTTATTGCCACATTTATCCAAAACTCAGTCATTGTATGTATTCACAAAAAACACCTACAATGTAGGAGTTTTCTGGGGTTGTCAAGTTCATTCGAAATAAGAGTGTGGGGTCAAAATTTGGGAAAAACAAAACCAAGCCAAACATATGAAATTTACGGTTGGGTTTTTTTAAAACATCACCGCTTGAGTGCTTCATGAAAAACTGAAGATGATTGAAGTTCAACATTTCCGGTTAGAGAGGTCGGAAATGCTGAATTTCTGCAAAACATGCATGCATGACATGAGCATGGCATGAGCATGCATGGCATGACACTTGAACAGACCCATGTCTCCGCACAAATGCTTCGCTCAGAATGCAGGCAGATTGAATGCACGGACGATAATCAACATGATGTGCAGAAGCTGCAGGTGCAGGTGCCCAATATTTTCACACCACTCGAGTCAGCCACTCTCGAGCGGCAGTAGCGAGGAACCGCTTCAGTGCCGTTTTGCCGGCCGTGGCAGCGTGGCAACCAGCAGCCTTGGCCCAAAGCTGTAAGGATAGATTTGGCATCAGCTCGTGTTCCAAAGAGGTATCTCTTAAGTGTAAAAAAATCTCGTAACTGCGTGCACAGCGACTACAGAGCACATGATTCGCACAAAGTCCTCGTCGGCGAAGCAAGAATTCAGCTGAGGATTGATTCTGCAGGTTCGCAATCTGACCCACATGTGAATCCAAACATGGAGCCTCAGAGCCCACAGATCGCAACAGATAAACAATGCAATGCAGTGCATGCAAATCGAAGACGACATGTAACCTACATCGATCTTTCTTGCGACTTAAGTCTCTTCGGCCGAAGCTTGTAGAGCCGCTTCTGCTCCAGGTAGCTATCATAGGCCAGCCAGCTATATCCAAGAATGAACCGTTTGCATGCCCGCTGGCCACGAACAGCATTCTCGCGGGATATTGCATAAATGCTAGCATCCAAGATCTCGATAGTCACGGCCAAAGCTCGAGCGGTCCTGACAAATGCAGGGGTAGGTGTTCGATTGAAGCAAGCAGTTAACCGAACAGCTTTCTGATTGATTTCCTCCAAAAACTTGGAATATGATCAGAATGGAAGTTTTGCGTAAAATCATTCATCTCGATAGGAGTTTAGGGTTTAGGGTTTTAAAGCGAACCGGTATCTTAAGTCAGTTTGGAATCCGAGGCACATCGACATCACGTATGCATGCTCTCGTCGCCGAGCAGCTGCTGCAGAGCGAGCAAAAGCAGGTGTGATCTCTGCCTTAGATGTCCATGCAATTGATCAGAATCGTGATTCAGCCGTGCATCGTACCTGCAAGTGCACATATTAGCATGCCACCAGAATGCTAGCCACATGCACACGAGCTTGATATCCCAGCCCTTCGCATTCAGACTTGGATAGTCGTCGCTGAAGCTGAACTCATCCATTGCAAGTTCATGGCCGTTGGCCCGTGCCCAGGAATGCAGCATGTCACCTGCTTTTGAAAGCAGTGCTCCTTGTTTCCCAAACATATCAGCCACCATGGAGCCACAGACATCTGCGGCAAATCCTCTGTATGCCACGTGCAGAGAATCATCCCAGATAAGTCTGTTGCTGAAGCCGGAGACATTTAGGATAGGCGACGGAAACTGCAAGTTGTTCATGGTTGCAAGGAAATCCTCGATTGCAGATGAAAGTATTGAAGCATCTAGGCCACCAGTAATACTCTGCATGTGATTCAATGCGTGCCCTACCCTCCCCCCGACTTGGTGTAAAGAGGTCCTGCAGCGACTCCTCGGAATCATGCCAGGCAGAGTCATCGTAAACATTCAAGTAGTGGCTCGAACCAAACGACAAGTAGGTTCTGCCATCGCTCGGGTCGCACGTGCTTGCAAGCCTCAAATATTGGGAAAGAGCAGGAACAATGAATGCTTACGGTCAAGTCCACATCAATGCATTATGTACAGATGCACATACTGGCAGCGAAGAGGCTTGCAAATGTGGCACATCCTGCAGGAATGTATTTTTCGCATTCTGGTCATGTCTGAATGAGTAGGCAACTGCAACTTAATTGCAAAACACATTGGATAGATCCGTCCTGTTCCCTCGGGCCACACCGTTGCCCTTCCAATGACGGGGACTTGGTATTCGCCAGCGTAGTGTTCGTGCTCTTCCACACGTGCATGCACACGTACAATGCAAAGCCCGACAAATGAGGCTTTGGCAACTTGAACACCTGGGCCAGCCATTTGAGATCGCCCTTCATCCCAAAGAAATGCACACGTCGTTCTTGCTGGGCGATGGTGACTGTCCTCCGATTTGATAGAGTTCTCATCTTGTTGAATCCGAACGTATGTCGAAGCAGAGAAAATGAGGATAACAAGTTACACAGCTGAGGCACAAAGATTCCAAGTCTTTGCAAATGATATCCATAATCTTATCCACAGTGGATGGCGTCCGTAGCTTCTTCTGCAAAGGCACAGGCACCAGGAGATGGCCCGGGATCGCACCTCATTCACAAATATGTTTTTACATGTGTATATATGTATACAGATACATCGTTAGATACAAACCGATAGATAGAGAGACAAATAGGCGGACTAGAAATAGATAAATAGATAAAGACATGCATGTAAATATATATATATNNTATACATATGTATATATACATATTTCTGCAAGTACCCATGCAATATGCGTATTCTGCCAGAGTCGCCAGGTACGGGTGATGAACACAGCAAGCAATCTCCACAATACAAGAGAATGCCAAAAAACTGCATCACGATATTGGAAACCAAGACACAAAGCGGCAGACGAGTCATGATCGTGTCCTCATTTATTGAGGACAGGAAACTGCATGGCACAACGACGACCATGTCTGCTTCAGGTGCGACCGAGCATCTCCATGATTGTGCGGGAAACTCAAGGATACCACAAGCAGATTCCTGTTCTTGAAGAAAGGCCCCTCATCGCCATGGATGCGAAGAAACACATCGTCAGGTCCTGCTCCACCGAACATACTAGCACAAGGATGCAACACTATCGCATTATTTCAGACCACCCCGCCTGCAGAGGAGAGGACTTCACATAGTGGCGGTGATTCTTGAATCAAATCCACAAGCCTGGGAGCCAGCAAACATAAGGAACCCTGATTTGCAGCCTAGCGTGAGCTGCTTCTGCTCACGTCGGAAGGACACACGGTGACAAGGCAGGACCCTTCAGTCTTCCAGCACAGGAGCAATTGTCGATCTTCAGGAGAGCTCTTGCCATACACCATGTGCTGCAGCAGCTTCGGTTGTTCCTCAAGCCACCGGAACCAAGAGCTGGGCCGGATGAAGCCTGGGTCAAAGCAGACACACACAGCAGCCGGTATTTTTTTCGGCAATGTAGTCTTGCACCTACAGACAGCCAACAGGATCAATCAGTCAGCACCACGACAATTATGTTGCAAGTCAGGTGCTGAAGTCCTTGCTCGCCAGCTGCTTTTTCACTGCCACAGGGAATTTCAGAGTCTCCACTTTCGGCAAGTGCCGCTGCAGCTGCTTGTGAAATCGCCGTTCATCTCGGATGGAAGCCAGCAATCTCGTTGGATAAGTCTTCGAACCTTCGGCGACTGCTGCCGAGCATACTTCCTGGCACATGAATCTCAAGTCGGTGCCCTTCTTGCGAAGAGACTTCAGCAAGGCACCACTCATTGGAGTCTCGACGAAGTGATCGAGGGCGTTGTAGCCCCGATCCATTCCGGATCGCACGGCTGGCGGCAA